CTACAAAACAACAAAAACTATAGAACAAAACTCTAGAAATTTTTACACGAATCACATAAATGGCAACATTTTTTTGCAGCACAACACTGCAAGCTCGTGTTAAAAATGAACATTTTCAGTCAAATGCACGCTCGGTTTTAAAATTTGTGAACTTCCAATGTTGGCTAAATAGTGAAGCTGGATTTGGCCAACTATAGAATACTTTTGACTCTGAAATACTAGAATCACCATAAAATCCAGCAGGTGGCTACATGAAATTCGCACACCGTGTAGAAAACAGCTGTAGATTATTATTATTATTAGCTTATGAAGTGAAACAAACTAAATCGTGACTTTCTCCAACCCTGTAAATCTCGCCCCAAAAATATATCTACTTAAATGCAGACGCTCCATCAGAAATTTGTAACTTTCAATCCCGATGAGATAAAAATTTGAGATTAACTCCACCCAATAGCAGATACTTATAATCGACAAATATGTAAGTTTCATTCAAATCCCTCACCCTAGTRATTTTTGCCAACCTCGAGAATGATGACCCAAAAATAAATCTTCCACTMAACTGCATGCGCTGCATTAAAAACCCTTAACTTYCAATCSAACGAAGATAGCAACATAAACCTTGCACACCCTATAGAAGATACTTAAAGCCCGATATCTCGAAAATATCAATCAAATTGCGCTAAAATCTGTATTTAATCCACTCTGTGGTAAATCGATGTTGTCTCTCGACTGCATGATCTCACTTGCAAACATCTAACTTCCCGTTCTTGGGCGATAGCGACTAGAATTTCGCACACCCTATAGAAGCACCTTTCTTAAAAGCCTACAATTTGAACCAAAATCATACCGAATGCAGCATTTTTTTAACTGTGTAAACGTGGAGTCAAAAATTATATTTTTCAATTAACTGCACGCCCCCTTTTGAAAATGCTAAACTTCCGATTCTGGGAAGGTAACGACTTGAATTTGGCACACTCTATAGATGTCACATGGCGCTAAAAACCGTGAATTTTTAACGAAGTTCACACGAAACGCTGATTTTTTAAACCTTTTAATTAGGGGCGGAAAATGGCGATTTTCTCTCAGTGGCACGCTCTTTTTTGAAAATGCGTGGCTGCCAATTCTAGTAAGTTAACAACTTGAAATTGGGATACTCTATAGAAGAGAGCTGCATCTCAACGCGGAGAAATTTTCACTCAAAACGCTGCAAACCTTCATTTTTGCCGCACCTCCAGCTAATGGATCACAAATATTTCCGTTGAACTGCAGGCCCTCCACTAAAAAATTCTAACTTCCCATCCCGACCAGGCACCAGTTTAAAATTGAGACACCGTGTAGAAGACAGTTCGGTTCAAAAAGCGACCAAATTTCATATGACTAACGCAGAAGATTGAGATTTACCAACGTTGAGAAAAATGACCCAAAAGTGAATCCTTTTCCAGGCTGCAGGCTCTATATTAAGAGTCCTCAACTTTCAATGGTGAAAAAATGCGAGGTTAAATTGGCGCACCCTATAGAACACAGTCGGCTCGAAAAACCTTAAAAATTGTACGAAAATCACAAACAATGCGGCTTTTTGAAAGTCTGTAAAAGCAGTTCCAAAACTAAAACTCTTCACTCAGTGCTTTTGGAAAAGTTCTAACTTCCAATTTTGAACAGGCAAAAACTTGAAATATGCACACCCTATAGATGAAAACTGCCTCCAAACTTCTGGATTTTTCCATTGAAAACACATGAAGTTCTAATTTTTGACAATCCTGTAAATGTTAGGCCAAGCAATTTGCACTTAAACGTGCACACACTCGATTAAAAATTCCTAACTTCCAACTGCGAGGAAGCAGCCAATTGATATTAACACTCACTATGGAAGACACTTGCAGCTTAAAAAAAACGATTTTAATAACACAAAACAGATTTTTGCATGCATTGTGAATGATGATCCAAAAGTGAAAACTTTTATTTAACTGCACGGTCTGCATTAAACATGCTAAAAACCTCAATCTGGTTGCAAGAAAACCAAAATTTTGTCCACTGTGTAAATCGACGTTTTCTTTTACCCGCACATTCTCTGGCCCGGATTAACTACTCCAGACTGGAATAAATTATTATAGATCTGGATAAAAATACCCTCCAGTATCCTTATTTTGGACCAAACACTTTTTTTCATAGCCACTAGTCACTTTATTTTCTTTGGAGCTTTCACATCTAAACAGTCTTCTCACTTTCAAACTGGTAGATATTTAGAAGAATACTCCTGCCAGGTGAGGTCGGCAAAGGCCCCGATATGCAAGGGCCGCTTTCGTTCGATTTTCCTTCTCAGATTGTCCTGAAAAATCTGAAATCTTCTGGACTCCTCTTCGGGCGTTTGATAACACTTGGCGAATTTTAGCTGAAAGCAGAATGGCCTTTGGCGGGGAAAGTTGGCCAGATTAAGAGCCTGTTGAGTACCTTGAAACTGGCCCATTCTTGTTCAAAATCCACTGAAGTTGCTGTTGTTGATTCTGCTGGCATTTTCGCTGAGATTTAGGGGACTTGTGTAAGGAAAATGCGTCCAGCTAAGTGATCGGCCACTTGAGATTAGACCTGCTGATAGGCTTTATCTCGTTGCGAATGGGAGGTAAATAAGTGGCGCAATTGCTGATTAAAATAACCGTTTATTTATTGGAAAGTTTCGAAGCAGCAGAAGCAACCTTTAAAGCATTTGCTGGTTGATGTCCTTAGGTTCCTCCGTGGAGATGGGAAGTTTGAATCCAGCCATCTTTCGCAATTCTTCTGGCGTGCTGTCGCTGAACGAGTTAATGGCAAAGCGTTGGAGGCCCATTTCCATTGTGGCAATGGATTTCATGTTAAGTTCTACAACGGATTTAACGGATTTTTCAAACATTTTGCACCGCATTTTATCTTCAACTGGCGTGTAGTTCTTGTTGAAACTGGTCTGAAACCACAAGGAAAACACCGAAAAAAATCACAATGCCCGCATCCGAAGAAACATTTATGTGCAAGCAACTAAGAACATCTGAAAATTGTTACCTTGTACATTTTCCATAGCTTGGGCATGTCGATGATTTCGAAGGGTCCATAAATGACTAACTTTTGGAATTTTACAGTATCTTCTGCGGACACCAAAACTGTAGCCAGAGCGGCCAACAAAAGCACTTTTACCATCATATTGACTGTTCAACTGAAGCTGAGCGAATGATTTGAAAATGCAAATCTGCCCCCTTAAATACCAAGCCGGGTAAATCTTATCTGGCAATAAAACCCGGCACGTTGAGCCGATTATTAGCGATTCTATTCATGCAAAACTACGAAGAAAAGGTTTATGACGCCGTTAAATGCATGTGGACGCTAGAACTATTCGCTTATCCAGGACACAAAACTTTTCAAAAAAATTCAAACTTTGACTTTATTACTGATTAGAAATCTCTTCAAATTCCAAAAAAGCTGTTCCATTGAAAGCTATTTTTGGTCAATATCCACTCAAATCTGAGCTTGAAACTACTCCCAACTGGAACATGTAAGCCCTGGCTCAAAGATGCCTAACTTCCAAATCTCTGCAAATAACAACTTGAAATTTACCCAACTTGTAGAAATCACTTGACTCTAAAGCCGCAGAAATGTTGACTAAAATCCCTCGAACTGCTGATATTTTAAAACTCCGTGAGTGCGGAAGCAAAAATAAACATTCTCATGCATCCGAACGCGCTTTTTCGAAGATGCATAACTTCCAACTCTGGGCTGGAAAGCACTTGAAATTTGCACATCTTGTAGAACACAGCTGGGTCTAAAAATTTGTATATTCTTGCTAACAAAACGCGGAAGCCCGATTTTTTGCTACCCTGTAAATGCGGAGGCAAAAATATCTGCGCTTAAATGCAGACTCTTCATTAAAAATTCCTAACTTCCAACGCCGGGCAGACAGCCATTTGAACTTGGGACACCCTGTAGGAAACACTTCGAGCTAAAAATTGCCCAACTTTCATTAAAACATGGCAAAATACTGGTTTTTGCTAACATTGTGAATGAGTAGTTAAAAGTAGATACTTTCACTCATCTATAGCCTCTGAACTAAAATGTTTTAACATCCTCTTCTTAGACGATGGCGATGTTAAATTCATCCACCCTATAGCAGATAAATTATTCTTAAAATCCTAAAATTTATACTAAAATCGCAAAAAATTCCGATTTTTTTAAACCGTCCAAATGGGGGATTAAAAATTAACTTCTCACTCAACTGCACGCGCTTTTTTCAAAATTCCTAACTACCAATTTTATGAAAGATACCTTTTGAAATTGGACCACCCTATAAAAGATATTTGGAGCTTCAGAGCTCTGGAAATGTAAACCAAATGAAGCTAAAACCGCAACTTCACCCACCTTGTAAATGTTCATTTAGAAACCGAACGTTTATCCTGATTTTTCACTGCCTTTCAAAAAAAATAATTACCTTTTATGCATGTAAAAAAGCAGTTTGAAACTTGCACAAACTTTACAGGAGACTTGGCATCTAAATCGCTGAAAGTTTCACCAAAATTTCAAGCTGTGTTAATTACAAGTTTTGCCAAACTTGAAAATGTTGGGCTAAAAACAAATATTTTCTCTCAATTGCACACTCTCGGTTAAAAAATCGTAGCGTTCAACCCTGGGCAGGTACGAACCTGAAACTTGCACACCCTATAAACCATCCTTGCCTCTGAAAATCTTGATATTTTTATTGAAATCGTCGTGCGACCTGCGTTTTGTCCACTCAGTAGAAATTGGGGTGGAACAGCTCTACTTCAAAAATTCTCAATTAGAGCAAGATTCAGAGTAATCTCTCATACAGAGCAAGTAGCAACTTGAAATTCAGTCACCCAGTAGAAAACAGCTGACTCTCGGCCACCTGAAAGTTTGATTCAAATGGCACTGAAATATGATTTTTCCCATTCTAAAAAACCGGCTGGTTTTCCTCACTTTGAAGGCTGGAGCAAAAATGGAGCTTGCGTCTCAACTCCTTTAAAAATTCCCAACTTCCTACAGATTGCAGGTGGTAAATTCAAATTTGCTCATCTTATTGAAGCATTTTGGCTCTCAAACTGCTGAAAGTTTTATTCATATTGCCTTGAAAACTGATTTTTGCCCACTCTCTAGTCGTTGGCGTAGAAATGGAAAATTTCACTCAACTACACGAGCTTTTTTAAAGGCTTGGTCCCTATCATCCGAAGCAAGTAGTAACTTGAGATTCACACACCAGATAGGAGATATTTGACACCCAAAACTCTGAAAATATCACTGAAACCATACTAAAAACTTAATTTTTTTTCCATTGTAAACATTCCACAGATCCTGTCAACTGAAGGCTCGTATTTGAAAACTCGCAACGTTTCGCTGAAAGCAGGTAGCAACTTGAAATTAACACAACCCAAAGGCGCAACTTGACTCGAAACGTCCGAAGTTTTATTCGCATCGGACAGAAGGATGATTTTTGTCCGCTCTATAAACATGAACTAGAAATGGAAACTCACTCAAACTCACGTTCTTCTTAAAAAAATTGCCAAATCTCGTGCAAACTAACTAGTAACTGGAAGTTCGCACATCCTATAGTAGATGTTTTAGGCGAAAAGTCGGGAAAATTGCATTCAATTGAAGTTGCAACTAGACTTTCGTTTTTAAAAATTCGCAACGTCTCATTCTGAAGAAAATCTGTGCAAGCCGGAACGTGAAACTTGCACACCGTATAGAACATACGTTCTTCTGAAAACCTGGGTATTTTTATCAAACTGGATTTTAAAAATGAGCATTTTGTGGGATTTTAGTCAAAATTTCAGGGGTTTTAGATCCAAATTGCTTCTACTGAATGGGTAAATTTCAAGTTGCTTGCCGCAAATCCAAAGTTAAGATTCTTTACTGAAGTGCTTACAACTTTGCAGTTTGTGGTAATTTCAAGCTTCTTTTGAGTGGGAGTCGACGAAATGAACAACTTTCCATACGAACTCCAGTCAAAGTTTGAATATTTCGAAAATTTTCGGTGATTGCTTGATGGCGTCCACATGCATTTAACAGCGTGATAAACCTTTTCTTCTTAGTTTCGCATGAATACAAACGCTAATAATCGGCTAAACGTGCCGGGTTTTATTGCCTGATAAATTTTTCCCAGCTTGGTATTTAAAAAGGGAGATTTGCATGTCGGAATCATACACTCAGCTCCAGTCCAACAGCCAACATGATGGTAAAAGTGCTTTTACTGGCCGCTTTGGCTACTTTTGTAGTCGCTGCTGAATATTCCGGCAACTTCCAAAAGTGCCCAGTTTATGGCCCTTTTGAGATCATCGACATGCCCAAGCTATGGAACATGTACAAGGTAGAAATATCTGCATTATCTACAACGATTTGGGTGTAGGCATTGTGAATTTTTTGGTATTATTCTGGTGGTTTCAGACCACCTACAACAAGAACTACTCGGGCGTTGAAGACCAAATGCGTTATGGGCTTTTCGAAAAAGCTGTGAAATCCGTGGTGGAGTCCAACTTAAAATCCATTGCCAACATGAGCATGGAACTTTCTGCTATCAATGTGTTCAGCGACTGCACTCCTGAAGAATACCAGAGTTGGCTGCAAAACGGTCGCCTCAACTGAAGGCTTTGAATAAATCCGAATTTGAGGAAATAAAATTAAAATAATCCGAATTTGAGGAAATAAATTAAAAATAATAAAAAGACCATTTTCACTTCAAAATCGACAAAAAAAACAGTGAAGTTTCGATCAGAAAACTCAAGTTTAATACTTTAGCGCATTTAAGCATTTTTAAGTTGCAACATGGAGATTTTCGATTTTTTTTCTGAAGTTTTTGCAGAAAAAGTACGTTTAGAAAAAACATTACTGGAGTTGAGGATTTTTCAGTTCCAACTTGATAAATTTTGGAAAACAAATTTACTTGAAAATCGGGAAGGAACCAGTGACGTTTCCGTGAAAAAAACACGTTTATAGAAGAACTTTGTTCACTTTAGGATTTTTCGGTTTCAACTGGAAGGTTTTGTAAAATTGAACCGAATTTGCACTAAGATTTGAGATATAAAATTCGCGTTAAAATCGGCAAAAACACGGTGAAGTTTTTGTGCAAAAATCCACGTTTCGAGAAGATTTTAGTGTGCGTCAGGATTTTTCGGTTCTAACTTGGAGATTTAGGAACATTTTTCCCAAATTCCAAAAAATTTCCCAAACGAAAAAAATATTCTAGAGACAAGACTGTTCTGAAAATCGTTGAAGAAATAGTGAAGTTTTGGTCAGAAAAATCACGTTTAAAAATGTTAATAAATTTTACGATTTTAACCAAATTTACAGAAGAATTTTAAAAACTAAATCAACATGAAAATCAGCAAATAAGCAGTAAAAATTTCGATAAAAATCAAGTTTAAGGAATTTTTAAGTGAATTTCATGACTTTTTGGTTCAAAAAAATGCAACATAATTTACGAAAAAATCTAGAATCCAAGTTCGTCTGTTCAAGTT